TATAGAAGGAATACTCATCGGATACGACAGCAGAAGTAAAGGCTACAGAGTTTTAATTCCTGGAGACAAAATTATAATAAGTAGATCGATACAATTTATTGAAGACACTGGAACTGACGAGCCTGTAATCATCTATTTAAACCAGGATGAAGAAAATTCTAAGGAAGAAAGCTCAGAATGGGAAGAAATAAAAAATAGAAGAACCCGAAGAGGAAGAAATAGAACACGAAGAACCGTTGGAACTCAGAAGACCGAACAGATCCACAAAAGGAAAACCTCCTGATCATTACGGATTCCATGTCAAATATCCAATCTTCCCCCCGAACCCAAAACCTGGAAGGAAATTCAAAGTTTCGAAGAAAATGAAAAAAGAAAATGGCTAACAGCTGTCCGAGAAGAAATTAATTCACTAGAAGAAAACAACACTTGAGAATTAGTTGATTTACCAAAAGGAAGAAAACCAATAGGATGCAAATGGTCTTTCAAGACAAAGCTCAATGTAGAAGGGAAAATTGAAAGATACAAAGCCAGATTAGTCGCAAAAGGATTTAGCCAGAAGTTTGGATCTGACTATGATGAAACCTTTGCTCCTGTAGTAAAATACACAACGCTACAAACCTTCCTATGTGCAGCTTCGTATAAAAACATGTCTGTCAGACATATCGATGTCAAAACAGCTTTCCTTCATGGAGAACTAGAAGAAATTTACATGACTCAACCCGAAGGATACTCAAAAGCTGGAAATGAAAATAAAGTTTGCAAGCTGAATAAATCTATATATGGTTTAAAACAAGCCACTAGAGCTTGGAATCTGAAAATTGGAAAAATACTTCTAAACATGTCATTTAAACAAAGTAAAGCAGACCCATGCTTGTTTTTCAAAAACATCAATGGAAAATTCATGCATATAATATTATATGTAGATGATATGCTTATAGGAAGTGAAAGAGAAGATATAATGGAAACAATCCAACAATTGAATGCTAAATTTGAAATCAAAAACCTAGGAGAAGTCACCTACTACCTCGGCATAAACATTGAAAGATTTAAGGATGGAACTTTTGCCATAAACCAAAAGAATAAAATCGAAGAAATAGCTCAAAAGTTTGGACTCCAGAATGAAAAACCAACATATACACCAATGGAAACAAATTACTGCAAACTAGAAGCTGAAGACAACCTTCTAGAGGATAATACAGAATATAGACAAGCAGCAGGGGCATTATTATATATTGCAACAATCAGCAGACCAGATATAGCATGTGCACTCAATCTACTGAGTAGAAGAAACAAAAAACCTCGGAACACAGATTGGAATGCTGTCAAGTAAGTCATTCGATACTTGCACACAACTAAAGACTTTAAGTTGGTCTTTAACAGAATTCAAGAACCTATACTAACTGCATATTCGGATGCAAATTGGGCAAATGACAGAACAAGAAGAAAATCCATTAGCGGATACATATTCAAACTAGGAAATAACTGCATTTCATGGAGCAGCAAAAGGCAAAACTGCATTGCACTATCTTCAACTGAAGCAGAATATATTGCAGCAGCTAATACAGCACAAGAAGCACAATCTAGGACTAAAACAAAATCTGCCGATTACTCTCTATGAAGATAACAAATCATGCATCAAACTATCAAAAATGTAGAATAATAGCTCCAGAACAAAGCATACAGACGTGAAATACCACTACTTGCGTGAACTTCAACATAACGGGATCCTGAGCCTAGACTACTGCAGAAGCTCCGACATGATTGCAGATCTACTCACCAAACCACTAGGGGAGCCTGTGTCCGAGAAACTTCGAGAATCACTGCAAATGGCGATCCTGCCCATCAAGTAGGAGTGTTGGTATGCATATAGTGATTGACTATCGCCAATAGCACGATAAACTGCATGAACTGGAAATTCCTGCAAAAGAGTTAACTGTGTAACTCTCTTATTCTTTACACTTACTTTTCTCACTCCTTCAGGAAAGGACAGTGATATGACACTCTCTATAATATAACTCCTTTTTAAATGTATATATTTGGAATACTAACAAATTTTTATCTATTTTCATGTATTAATAAAGAATGTGTTTTGTGATCTTACAATTTCCGTCTATGCCTATTTTGGAATTACAAGTTAATTAGGTATGATCTCGCTTGATGCTGCGCTGGATACAAGGTAAGAAGAATCATTTTGCTTTCTACTTTTATTAATTTTTTGTGAAATTTTGAGGCTATAAAAATGTTTTACAACAATATAATACAATGAATAAATAGAGCTTGTTATTTTACATATATATTTAAAAAATTAATTGTAAAAAACATGTAAGGAATAGAAATAAAACTGTAACTGTCACACATTGCTACTGTAAATAAAAAGGACTTGTACCTTTCGATGACTCAGCACAATGTTGCATCTTGAGAAAAGGATGTTTAAGCAAAAAATAAAAGTTTCTTTTTTTTATTTTTTTATCAGAAATCTACCCTTTCTTGCCATAACCACCTACTTTACCAGGCTGATTCTTCTCTGAGCCCAGTGTTCTCTCTGATCAAACTTGGTTCTATGAATACAACATTTTCAGCAATTCAAGGCTACCCCAAATGATGTGACAATGTGTAATCAGGTACTAAAAGTCCTTCTCCCAATGCTACTAAGAATATCAAAAGCACTGCAACTAACTGTATGTTCTGATGAATGCTATTTCAAAAATCATTATGTACTTCTTTTTAAATCTCAAACAGAACTGCACAAGCATCTTCTGTCCACATTTTCAACATGAGTACATAAAATCAATATTTAATCTAAGTAATGTTGGACATTTAATTACAAAATAATTTTTATTGTCCAATTTATTGATAATTTAGTCACTTGTGATGTGCACACTTTGATATTATGATTACAAATTTCAATAAAACCTCCCCCCCAAATCAAGATTTATATATACAATCAGAGGAATGCAGAACCATGGAATAAGATACCACCAAGCTGAGGATTCTGGATAATCTTGCAAAGTTTTACTATAAGAGGATGCCCTATTTTCTTGCCATACAATATCTATGCAAATAAAAAATCAGATAAATGACAAAAATTCTTCCTCATCCAAGTAAAAACGTTTGATAGCAAGTTTGGTAAAAAGAAACATCCAATGAAAAAAATTTGAGCTACAGTAATCTTGGTAATTTTCTTGTTTCTATTCTTTATACTTTTCTTCAACTATTTTTTTAAAATGTGTTATGGATTTTTAGATCACCTGTATCTAACTTGCAGAGAAGCATATAACTTAGTATTTACCACCTTCCACCCAACCCTATAAAATTATAAAGAGCCTTAAGTCAGCAAATATAGTTGCAAACACCTGGCCTGCACATCTGAGAAATATGCAAGAAAATCAAGGATAAAATTATAAGAAACATTTATATTGTGTAAATTTCTCCACTGGTGTGATTCCAGTGGTGAGGTCAATAACATATGAGAGTATCTAATCATGAAATCTTTGAATATTGTTATTCTGAAAAAATAAATAAATAATTTTCATTAGAAATGTTCTAATGAAAACAACCCCAAAATAATACTTGCAGCTACTTAGAACTTTTAAGTCTCAAGTTGCTTATTTATGCTGACAATAACTAAGGTCATTTACTCCTTTAGATTTAACAGATATACAGAAACAAATAACTATTTGCAGTAAACATGTAACATGGGGATCGGAAAGTAATGTCGTTTCTGAGCATGTCGATATTTCATTGTCATTTTTCAACTCATTATGTATCTCAAAGGCATGCCAAAGTCATTTTAAGGTTATTGTGATTTGCTCACTTTTGAAAAATTCAATATTAAACTTTTTTTTTTTTCTGCAATTTTGGGTGAAATGGCCAGCTAAATACCAGAAGAGCATATCCGGCATTGTATGCTTTTTGAGTTTCGTAAGGGTAGTAATGCAACAGTTGCGACCAAAAACATTTGCAATGTTTATCCACATGCATTATATGTTCGTAAATGCCAAAGATGGTTTTCCAAGTTCAAATCTGTTAATTTTGATCTCTCTGACTCCTATTGATCACGAAGACCAACAACATGGCTAAGGGCAGAAGTGGAAGCAAATCCAAGTCAGGCAATCGAGGAACTGTCAAACACCCTTAATGAACCTTGGTCGACCATCCAAGAACATTTAAAGCAGATTAGGAAAATAAGCAGAGCAGGTGTTTGGGTCCCCCATAATCTATCCAAAGAGAACAAAGCCAACCGATTCATCACATGCAACATATTGCTTCAATGGCACCATACAGAATCATTTTTTGATTACTGGAGATGAAAAATGGGTCCTACATGATAATCCAAAACACAAGAGGCAGTTTTAATAGGAGTTACCAAGGATTTACATCCCAAAATGGCACTTTTGTGCATTTTGCAGAAGTGTTCATTTTGAATTGCTGAAACCTGGAAAAACTTAATGCAGATCTTTATTATGAACAATTGGATCGAGTGAACCAATCTTTAATGGAAAAATATCCGGCAATTGTCAACAAAAAAGGCGTCATTCTGCAATACAAGAATGCAAGACCGCACTGTGCAAGACATGCATTGAAATTAATGAATTGGAGTGGGAGGTACTGCCTCACCCTCCATACTCGCCTGATACTGCACTCTTGGATTTCCATTTATTTTGATCCCTACAACATTTTCTTTGTGGCACAAAATTTGAAATTTGGATGACATCCAAAATGCCATCTTGAGATTCTTTACTCAAACATGAACTGATTTTTATCGGTCCAGGATTGAAAATGTGCACACTAGATGGCAAAAGATTGTTGATAACGAGTGTGATCATATTATTGATCAAAAATAAAAACTTGTTAAAAATTTATTCATTTGAATTTAATGCAAAAACATGACATTACTTTTCGGTCCCCGTACTATATTACCATGACGAAATTGCTGAAAATAAATCCAATAAGATAAATATTTCTTCAACCAGGAATTGAAATTTAATGCAAGAAATTACATTTCAGACAGCCCATTCTCCACTTGTGCTTTAGAACCAGGGGGCACAACATCCTTACAGGAAGAGCTCACAGATGTATAACTGGCCATGCTGCAATTTGATGAAGACGGGACATAAGAGAATAGGCTTGCAGATGTCCAAGGTGAATAAAATGATACTACATTGCCATCTTCCACAGTTTTGAACAAGCAGAACTGAAAGCAGAATTAAAATCAAAATACAGAAAACAGAAGGTCTTCTCCAAAGGAAAACAAGGTTCAAATATAATTTTTTTTGAATAGATTTAAACATTAGCCAAGTAAGAAAATAGTTTAGCTGTCGACAGTTAAACCTTAACAGTATAGAATTCTATGTGGCACTTTAGTGTCTATATAGCTGCAAACCTTGAAATATGAAACAGCAAGTTCTTGTGTGACAATGAGGAGATTTTAAAGCTTTCAATACTGTGCTGTGATACCATTTCAAAAGAACTCCAAAATGACTTAAATTCATTTTACGAGTTTCATTTTGTTTCATTCATTTTCTCGTATAATGCATGATTTAAATTACTAACTAATATTTCTAATGTGATTCTGATGTAAAATATATTAATAAGATATTCTAAATTTTATATTCCTTAGCTAATTTTATTTCACAATTTTCTTACAGAGAAAATTTTGAAAGGGAAAAAACATGTTATTTGTCAAAGTACTTTTAAATACTAAGATTACAATAAAACTAATAATTAAACTACTTTGTGAGTTACTTTAGTAATACACCATTTATTAACATAAACACAATTAAAAACAAATATTGACTGATTAAACATTAACTGAATTTCCATAAAAAGTTCTACAAATATCTAACGTAAATTATGACAATTCATATAAATAAAATTTAATAATTATCTGAAAATCACCAGGTAGTAGGGGAATGAAATTTGCACAATTTAAGTTTAATTAATTCAATAAATTAAGTTGAACTTAAGAAACTCTTTTCCCACTAAAGATTAAAAGTAAAAAATCAAGAGACTCAGTGATCTACTGAAATGCTGGAAGAGTTTGTAGCTATGTCTTTACTATCTACTTTAAAATTAATTGGGGACCCTGTAAAATTAGGTTAATTCTTCTACATCAAACTATAGCTGGAATACTTTCTTAAATATTAATATTACACTTGCTTCAAAAATCAAGCATGCACTGCAGACTAGCAACTTTCAAAAGCATAGCTGATTTTGAGTAGCTGAATATGGCTGCAGATGCAGATGGCAGTGGGCAAATCTATGTTTCACCCAATCATGATTGATTGCCTGAACATATGATAGTCAGACAGTTGATGAAGATGCCAGTATTCTGAAGGATTTGAGGATGTACATTTAAATGCTGATATGAAGAGTTTGTAGAGACATTAGGTATTTTTTGGAAAGCCGGAGAGATGAAAAATGAGCAATCGCCTTTGCCGGGAATCGAACTACGGACCTCTGGAATACTGGCCCAGTGTGCAGAACCACTACACCACGAAGGTGGGAGAAATACCTTATATACTCCCCCTTTTAAAGGGCGAGTGGGGTTTTAAGGGACCCAATCGCCAAATCCTGGGTGAGAAGAATCATCATCCAACACCCTTTTAGTTCGGGCACCACTGTAGCGATATTAGGTACTTTTTGGAAAGCCGGAGAGATGAAAAATGAGCAATCGCCTTCACCGGGAATCGAACCACGAACCTCTGGAATACCGGCCCAATGTGCGGAACCACTACACCATGATGGCCCGCTAGGAAGGCGGGAGAAATACCTTATAAGTTCATAAATTTTTCAAGATAATTTTTGATGGTATTCAACTATGTAAGGCTGAAAAAAAAAATGGCAGATAGTGAGTCACAAATTTGGGACGCATTAAAGAAGGACTGTACGTCCAACATTTTATTCTTCCATGCATATGTTAGCACTGGAAATATGCAAATTTGGTGACTGATAATGTGGCGCACAATGGATGCATGTTGGAATTTCGATCTATACTGTTACTTAAAGTGAATGCGGTTTCTGAGATTGATCAATATTGAGTAATTATGGCTCGAAAGCCTCATTTAAATGAAGGTCAAAAGTTGCGAATAATTGATAGAATCAAAGATCAAACAGAAAGGGAGGTCGCCCAATACTTGAAATCCTTTACAGTGTCATATTGAGTTTGCAGCCATCAAGCACTGGTTCAGTTGACAGACAGCCTCATCAAAGGTGAACAAGACAACTGCATCAGTACACTATATCTGTTGTACTGGGCTCAAAGAAACTGTGAAGTGACTACAAAAGATTTAGTTTTAGACTTTCAGGCTGCCACAGGACCTTGAACTAGCCATTCTACTGCTGCATGAAGGCTTGACAAGGTTGGACTGTATGTGAGAAAACCAGTGGTTTGTGTTTCTTCAGCTACGAGAGATGCCCATTTAAACTGGTGCTATTGTCATGTTCATTGGAGACAAGACAACTGGGCCCGAGTGCTGTTTACTGACGAGCCCAGATATAGACTAGAACATTGGTTCTCAATGGGAGTGGTACCAACCCCTAGGAGGCAGTAAAAGGGTGCTGAGGGGCAATGAACTTATTTTGGGCGGTAGGGGCGATGAGCATGTATTTTCATTCGAACTTAATTTAAAATCCCCAGAGAATTTATTAAATTTGTTCCATTTGTACCAGTAATAAAAAAAAACTTAACGCATTTTTATGAAATTTTAAGAATGGTGAGACAAATCAGCAAAAAATTAATCCTGACCAAAAAATAAAGATTTGTCGTTTTTCCTGAACATCAGAGCCAAGTTTCTGAAGGCACCGTTTGTTTCAGGGGTACTAGCAGCCTCACTAAAAAAATGTGACGATGGTTTATGTCAATATTAACTGCTAAATCGGTGAAAGCTCATGCCACGGGCAAAAAGTTGATATTGCCAGCTGTCAAGGAAGTTTTAAAAACAGTTTTATACCATCCAGCCTCACAAATGTTGTAAAAAATGTCTCATTAAGCAATGAAGAATTGATAACATGGCAGAAGATGTTAAAGCTTCATTTTGCAAAATTTTGATACCCACCGAATTTTGTCTTCAGGTTGATAAATCAACCTTGCCAGGTACTTATGAGGCTTTACTGTAAGCATATGTCCGGTTTGTGAAGGAAGGAAAAATTATTCAAGAAATGCTTTTTGCAAAACCTTTGACTGCAGATACTAAAGATGAATCTATTTTTATACTGTCAAAGATTATTTTAATGAGAAAAATATTCCTCTAGTGAACATTATGTCTGTTGCGACTGATAGAGATCCTGCAATGATGGATCAACATCATGGATTCATCGTCTTTTTGAAGAAAGTGGTACCAAGTATTTTAGCTGTTTACTGCATGATTCAAAGACAGCAATTAGTTGAAGAAAAGAATCAGCTACCGTTCGCATCAGTCATCAAAATATGCAAGCTCTACTGTGAATAAAATTTGCAGTAATGTTCTCAATGATCGATTATTCAGGCAGCTGTCTAAGGACAACTATGAAAAATTCAGTCGCTTACTTCTACACACCGAGGTTAGCTGGCTTTACAAAGGCGCCTGCCTCAATAGATTCTGGAATCTTTTCAGCTACATACTTGAGTTCCCAAAGAGAAAAATGTAGCTCTGAAAGAAAAATTACTAGAATTTAAGGCTGATATTGCTTACATGACCAATTTATTCACAAAATTCATTGGAATTAATTTGCAGTCTCAAGACGAAGAGCTCAATTTGATCACAACAAAACAGCCTTCATAAAAAAACCCACTTTGTGGAAGGAGAACTTTGGTCGCAGCAAGCTCAGCCAGTTTCCAGTCTGCATAAGAGCAGTGAATCCTCCTTCGATGAAATATATATTTACTGTCGACACCTTTAGTCTTTGCACAAGGACTGTTCTGAGTGGCTTCAGGACATTTTGTCCTTGAAAGTCCTCAGTGGGTCATGAACCCTTTTATAAATATTGAGACAGCAGAGGTTCAGCTTCAGGAGGAAATAGCCGAATTTTCAACTAATGAAACTTAAAAAGTTTTGAAATTGGTTTCTCTTCCTCCTACCTCGTTGAGCGAGGCATCAGTGCTGTGACTGATACCATTACAAAACAAGAAGTCGACTCCAAATCATGGAAAGAGGGGATTTGCACCTTCATCTCTCTAAAAATACTGAACGCAAAGTTCAGAAACTGGCTCTGAACGATTAAACACAAACATCCCACAGATCATACTTGACTGTTTCTTGGGTATTACTCTTTTAGCGTACTTTTTGCTCTTCTTTTTTGATTATTTAATGAAGAATAAAGAATTTTTAAACATAAAACAATGCTTAAGGAATTTTTTCTGGCATTAGTCATTTCACTTTTAACAAAGGGAATGTAATTACCTTCCAGGCAAAAACTATTGAGTTAAATAAAAAAAATTTTGTAAGTCTACTGAAAAAAAATCCCTTTTCCATACCTAAATTACACGATTTTCACAAAGGGGAAAGCTTTTTCACTTCTTACAGGGCGGCAGCTTCAAAAAGGTTGAGAAACACTGGCCTACAGAGTGATTTTTGACATATTTTGACCTGGAGAGAGGAAGGAACATACAACTTGTCTTTCTTTGTCCATGAAATATCCCATTTTCACAAACCCGGTTTAATGGTTTGGGGAGGAAACTTGACAAATGGCTGCACGGAGCTGCACATCTTTTAAGAAAGTTTTGTAACTGTTCAGAGATATGTGGACGTATTGGAACGCCATGTTAGACTGTTTAAGAGTGCTGTTAGCCCATAGTTTTTGCTAATGGATGATAATGCTCAGCCTCATCAAGCATGTGTGGTGTCAGAATACTTACAAACAGAAGATATCACTCAAATGGATTGGCCACTTTACTCATGTGGCTTGAATATGAGTCAGTATGTGTGGGATGCCCTAAGGCTTCGAATTCCAGCACACGAAAATCCTCCCCGGACCCTCAAGGAGCCCAAAAGTACACTTTTAGAAGAGTGATGTGCGGTTACACAAGACTTGATCAGCACTTTGGTAAAGTGTATGAAATCAAGATGTGAGGTACGCATATTTGTCCAAGGTGACCATACACCATATTAAAGATAAATTATTTCCACAAGAGGTGACTTAATTTTTCCATCATTTTCCAGTTCAGATAAATTTGGTTTTAATTTCAACATTTTGTGAATAATCAACTGCCAAACA